TTTAAAATCAGTTGGTAGCCTTTGTTCCAGGTCCTGGACAGCTGCTCCTCGTCAAGAAATGTGGTGGTTGTCTGTGAAAAGGAAAGGTTGTGATTGAGAGCAAATAAGGTTTACCAGTAAGGATAACTAATGCAAGTGTGTGTGAAAACCTAGAAATAAAGGTGGTGCAAAGAAGCAACTGTAAGACACAATTACTCACCTTTCTTTCTTGTGTCCTGTTCAGGGTGTTTGGGCAAATGTTTCCTTGGGGGTCCAGACACCATTTAAAGGTTCCGGGAGAGGCCATGGGTTAAGAGAGTGTGGCGTTTTTATAATAATGGGTTTGGTGTAAGGATAAAGTGTAAAATATGTATTCATATGAAAATGAAAAATGTATTTAGATATTTATTTATTTGAGTTGATTTATTGTATAATGTGGTGGAAGGTTGGGTTTGAGAACTCACCTGTTAATAGAATAATGGTTTAGCCTGCAACAGCTGAAAGTACTTAAGGCTGCTAGTTGCCATTAGATGGGTGGACTGTTTGGTGAGGAGAGCTGTCTGATAAAGAAATACCCCTTGTTCCACTATACTTGTCTTGGTCTGCCTCATTGTAAATCCAGCCACAAAAGGCTGCCCTGTAACAAGCAGTAAACCTCAGAGCAGGAGCAGCTGATCACAGTCTGTACACTAAGAAAATCTACTAAAGCTCACAATCAAAACTATTGTGAGCTTTGAGTCTTTTCTCCACACTGACCCACTACAACCAATTTAAGGGTTCCTCCACCTGATGAATCCACTTTAACCTTTGACTGTACTCATTTCCCTTTTTAGGTGCGGCATTAAAGTTACTCTCTACGATGTAGACAACAGAAAATAGAGCTACTTTAAAAAATGCACTCTTTTTTTCTTTGCTCGTGTTCTACATAATTGATTCAAGCTAAATAGATTCAATAGAATTAAAATTTAGACTGAAATACTTAAAGCTCTTGGTAATATGGTCATGTAGCAGATACTTGTAACATTATTTCAAAGGTGGATACAAGCATCAGTTTGTGCATTTTGTCCGTCTGATGCCACTAGTTTGAAAAAGACCACTTGTCAGCAGCTTCTTGTTCTGAGGCAATAGTGCTAACCACTGCACTCCCTAGAATATGAAGTTATCTTCTGTACTATTATGTGTTATTTCTGGCTTTTGGTTGTTGTGTTAATGAGCAAAACTGAGGCTAAAGACAAAGACAAGAAAATTGTGTATGAAAACATTTATTAGAGGCTAATAAGAGATCACATGTATTAACTATTACAGTGTGAAAACAGATGACCCCACTTTTAATTAGCTTTTTTTTGTTTCTGATGTCTGAGTGATCTGTCATACATCCAAAAGACAAAGGAAACCAGTTATGTTGATAAATAAAAAGGTAACCCTAAAAGTCCTACACCTTTTTTCTTTTTGGCAAAGTGCAGTATTATTCCAGTAAACTACACAGAAAAGCAAAAAATGACAAAACAATACAAAACAAACAAAAACCCAAAAAGTCTAACACTTAGTGGAAAAATGCCATAAAATATTCTTCACACTTACAAATAAAACAATAGGAGAAAAAAAGAGGTTTTGCTACATCATTCTGTCTGGTTTGTTGAGTCATTATAAAAGCTGTACAAGGACTGGGCGGATGGTGGTGGCGAGAGCATATGAGCTTCCTCGAATGATGCATAGTTGGTTTCTGATGTTTGTCTGTGTGTTTTAATTTATTATTACGTCCACTTAAAAAGTTAAACAAAAAGAAAAACAAGTTCAAGTTCTTCATTGATGCATTGTCATCATAACATTTCAACCTGGAAGGCACGTGATCCACAAATTTCAAGGCATTGAACAAAAAGCATTACAAATCCCTGTTAGATTAATGATGGAGAGATGAGCTGAGAACAGATACTTAAGAAAAAAAACAAAAGAACAAAAAAACAAATTAATCGTTTAAGGCTCCTGACAGCAGGAGGAACCTCCGATCCCTTCTGTCTTTAAGTTTCTCTTTTTCAAAAAATAAAATGACACAAAATAACATCGTTCGTGATTGCAAAACTCACTGCAGAGAGAGAGACATTCGAGAAAGGACAAGAAAAAAAAAAAGCTTGAAAACACAAGAGATCCACTCTACTACAGTTTACGATTATTTACAGCAAATAACAAAAATGCCTTACAGGGCTTTGTTAACAACGCTACCTTCCCAGAAACTCGACTAGAGACATTCAGTCAGGTTTACAAGGCGATTAGAAGACCACACTGCAACAGTTTCCATTAAAAATGACTGAATCTTTTCTCCTCCATAATATGTGTTCGTTCCACGCTGCATCTCCGTATCTTCAGAACAGGATCGGTTTCCAAAACATCATCGTTAGGCAAATTTACAGAGTTTAGTAAGTTTCTGTTGATGTGTGTAAGGAAATGAATTTTTTTTAAGTTGATAAATAAGCAAAATGTGAAGTTATATGTAGAGTCCTTCACCTGTTCTTAAATTATTTACGAACATTAAAATGGTTGCCGATTTCTGCCAGACAAAAAAAAAAGAAAAAAAAAAAAGGGTTTAAAACAGAAAAAAATTAAACATTTTGGAACAAATTTTCAGTTATAAAAAGTCACAGACTGAGTCAAATTTTCTGTTTAACATCAGACAAACATACATGCTCCAGAACTTTACTTTAAACCTGTTTACCCTATATATAGATTTAAATAGTCTTTTTTTGGCAGAAATTGTCTTCCATAGATTTTAGTCACTCTATAAGGTTGGTTATTTCTCAACTTTTGCAGTGTGGCGACTCGGCCTGGGCTCCGCTTATCCCTACAGCAGACACATTAAACCATTAAACAGTCTACCATTTTAGAGCACCGTAACCGAGAGCTGTTATCAAACACTCAAACAATTTTTTAAAAAAAGAACACCAGTATAATAAAACTACGGAGAGATTAAAGATCGCTGCTACTTTTTTTTTGGTTTAAATATTTAACGAAATGTAACTACGTTAACATGGAAAAGAGAACAGTTAAAATAGCATAAGGTACATTTCTAAAACCATGTTAGGTACAGTTGAGCAAAATATATAAACATAGCTGAAAAAAACCAACAGTTTCTCTCCATCCTGATGGATTTCCAACAGCCAACTGACAGTGTCAGAGTTCATTTCACAGTCCCGGGACCAAAAGACGTTTCTGTGACACTAAACAAGAAGTTGATTATTTCTCACAAAGGTTTTCACAGAGGGAAAGCACGCAGGGACATAGCTGGAAAAGTCCGAGTACACACAAAGAATCATCAGCCGTCAAGTAAATCTGCATTTTCCTAAAGAGTAAAGGTGATTGGTTGTGACCCTGAGAAGTGGACTGCAGATTCATTTAAGAACAAAAACAAAACAGAAAAAAAGAAAGAAAATAATAATTATCCATTTTTCTTTTTTCCCCCACCATCATGACACTAACAAAACTCTACAACCATGCAACAGATTGCACACTATCATAACCAAACACACCTAAGCAAGAAACCATGGACGCATATATACCAACTTCATACTGATATGTAATTTGTTTTTTCTTTTCAAAAAATATTTTTGGAAGTTTTTTTTGTTTTACATATTTTTTAACATTTCTATTTATCTCAAAGCTACTGTTAAAACAAGGCGTTTAGTGATATTTAACCCAGTATTTTTCCCATTTTTTTCTTTTCTTTTTTTCTCCTTTAAAGAAATATCATGAAAAGTACTGAATTATAAAGTCAGAGGCAGGTTCAGCTGGAGCTGCAGGATGAGCAACATGGAAGTTTTTCACCTCTGGTGGTGCTGCAGAGCTCAAAAAGCAGGAACTTAAGGAAAAATACCCTTTAAAGGCTTTAATACAGCTGTGTTTTGCTTCACTGGCTTCATTTGTGGTGTTTTCGAAGCTTTTTAATAATCAGTCAAACACACACAGCATAAGGTTGGGTGAAGGGAACGAGTTTCTTCTGCAACCAAAGTGAATCACAGAGAGAACCGTAGCACAGAAACTAGAAATCTACGTCTGAAAGTACGAGAGCAGAAAATGGACTAACAGGCAAAGCAGCTACAGTACATAGTTAGGTTTGACTCAGACGTGATTCTAATTTTGCTGAAACTCTCTGTTTTCAGTTAACACACCCTCTAGTTTCACAGGAGAACCTTTGAATGCACGTGTTTAAGTCTGGCTGAAGCGTTTAGTATTAAAACATAACAGCAGGAACCATGTTTTTTATAAAAAGAAGAGAATTTGTATTGCACTTATAAAGAGGCTCAAAATGTTGCACTTTTCTTCTGTAATAAAGATGTTATAAAGCTTTAAACTTTCACCATCAAAAAGGCGTAATTATAATAAAGTCAGCTGTAATAAAGCAGAGCTTCTGTTCCTACAGTTGTTATGGACATACCCTGTTCTCCTCTAAAATGCAGGAAGTCACTCAAGACACAAACAGAGCATTTAGTACAGATCACTGATTATAAGCACGTGAGATTACATAAAGGGATTTTTTCCTTTAAACCCACCTAAACTTCATCCTCTAGTGTGAACAGCCCTTCACTGGCAACATATTGGGAACACTGCATTCCAATACTCCTGCATTGATTAAATGAAAACGTTGTCCGGCTGCACTGTCTATGTTCAAGTCATTTAGGATCTGAAATGTCTCCTACTGCCCTCAGTCAGTCCAAAAAGTTGCCTAGATGACCAGCAGTCTCACTGTGAGACCCTGAAGTGACACCACCAGACCATCCTGCCACACAGTGAACCTGCCGCTTAGTAAAGTGACCTACAGCATTGATTCTACACATTAAGGTGACGGTAAAGAAGAAGAAGAAGAAGAAAGAAAAGAAAGAGAAGTCATCATGACCTCTGTTTCTCTCTGTGATTGGACGTACAATGCTCTGAAGAAATAGAAGAAGAAATGGTCTTGTGAAAAGGGAGGGGAGGGGGGGTTAACTTTATGACCTTTACATATCCCTTCTTCTCAGTATCAATACATAGGAGGATGGATGAAGAGGAGTAGGACGCGGGGAGTGAAGTGAGGGAGGGAGAAAAAGTCTTCACTGGCCACATTACTGATATAAAAAGTCAACAGCCACCTTCCCGATTTCACCACCCATTAAGCTTTCAGGAGAAATTAGGTGTGAGGTGTGTAAGTGGTGGCTGATGCCGTAGTTAACTTGCTGCTGGTGTTTGTTTGTTGAGAAGATGAAAGAAAACGGAGATGAATGCTTGTGGGTGGCCAGTGTTACATTCCTGTACTGCTTAAAGTATTGAGGTTGATGATGATGATGATGATGAATAGTGATGAGGATGTCTCAGAAGTTGAGATGCCTCTGGCTGGGCTGGTGCAGGTGCATGGTGTTGGCTTTTGGGGGGCGGAGCAGGTTGAGGCGTCGCAGGGCCTTGCGGGACATGGGCTGGGTACGTTGGGTGGGGTTTCCCGGCCTTTGTTGCACAAGGCCGGCCTGAGCGGAGAGCGCCGCGGCGTAGCAGGAGGAGTGAAGACTGGAGCGCCGCTGTGAAACTGCCGCCTCTGGCCTGCAGGAGGCAGAAGTTTTCAGAAGAAGGCAGATTAGTTTTTAGCACAATGCAATAAGTAATTTAACAGCTGCTTCAGAACATGCATTGGTTTACTATTATATCCAATTATCAGGAGCATTTTTGAAGTATCTGCTACCTTGTGTGCTCTTTCAGTTAGTAGATTATTTTTTATTAAAATGTCTCAATAAGCCTGTGACTGGATAAGTTAACACTAAAAACGGCTATTGCGAAGTTGGTGCCTTTGAAGTGTTGTCCATTTGGTACTTTTGGACATATTTATAAATATGTCCAAGCTTGAAATCTATTTTCCAATGATGATGAAATTTCTGTCCATGGACAGAGCCCAGATTTTACCTGTGGCGAGAGCCATCTGGTGTTCTTCTGGCCTTTTCCTTTCCACTTGAAGCTGTCAGGCTCGCGGTCATCTCATCGGACGAAAAGTTCAATTCTGGTTCATGTGAGCTTTGTGGCAGGGGGTCAAGGTTCAGTCGTGGGATGCTGTGGTGAGTGTAGACGGACATGCTGGGGTGTTCGATTAGCAGGTTCTCCAGAGGGCTGGGCTCCAGGACGATGGGAAAGGTGCTACGCCCAGTGAAGCAGGGTGGGGGGGTAAGAAACCAGCTCTCCTGCAGAGAGCGGGTGTCCACACGCAGAAACCCACTCTCATCATCTTCCTCGTCCTCATCTGGACCACCGTCCGGGTCGGTGTCAGCCGTTGAGTTGAGGGAGGTGCAGGAGGCGTAACGGACAGGTGGGATGCCCATGGGTGAGGGGATCATCACCAGCTCATCATCTTCTTCATCCTCCTCTGCCTCCACCTCCTCGTCTTCATCTTGGATGATGGTGGATCCCGAGTGGCCATCGTTACACTGGCTGGAGCCAGCTTCAGCTAAGGGGTGAGATGAAGGTGTCATTAATGGAATGAAAATAGTACTAGAGACGCATCAGATTTTATGTCTTATGAAAAAAGTAACACCTGTATCTGAAAAGTACCAAGTACTAGTCATTCCCCACATGCTCTTACAGGCAACTTTTACGGCAGAAAGAGTCATGTGAACAACCTGTTACAAAAACAGGCTTTTAAGGCTTAAACCTATTCATTATTAAGGCATGGCCGCTTTGACTGCAGCAGGTGTCTTCTACTGTGAGTCATCGAACTGCACCTCATGACAGTGTTTGTGCCTTTTTGAGCATCTTTAAAGCCATCGTCTGTCAAACAATAAGGCCTGTTTTGTATTGACCTTCCAGGAGGCGGTGGTGGTGAATGTCGTTAACTTGTAGAAGCTTGTTTCCACAACTAAAAACAGAAAAACTATTTTTTTAAAAACCCAATAAAAACATAAATCCATTTTTAAAAATAACTTTGGGTCATTATCTCAAAATTTGGACTTTGACTAACTTGAAATGTTATTTTCTCATTTTTGAGTTATTTTCACAGAAGTTTGAGGTAATAAATCAAAATTTTAAAATACCAAACTCGAAGTTTTGAAATAATAACCCAAAACTTTGGTTTATGTTTTTTTTTTGAGTGGTGGAAAAAGTTCGTCCCTTAAACTTAAAATACATTGGTTATACACAAACCAGTGAAAAGAGATTCAAAAATAGGCGTCCCTCTCTTTACAGCATATCTTTGTAAACATGTTCTGCGCCCTACTTTTCTAAAATGTTTCTCTATGAGGTCTCGAACCATTTGGTTTACAGACATCATAAATCCAAACTCCTTTATGCAACAGGTCATTTACTGTTCCAGCTGTTGTTTTGATTTTAAAGTAAAACGCCTGTGTAATGTCATCAGTGTACCAGCAGGCGGCACTGTGGCTTGGCCACGCAGCAGAAGGGAACCTGCCAGATGTAAACAATAATTTTCTGGAAGCTGATCAGCCAAACAGCTGCAAGCAGGCTGACAGCCTGACAGCTCAACATTGCATGCCCAATGAACCGCACGCACGCATGTTTCTGTTTGAATTTGCAAAAATGTCTGTCTGCTGTTAACCCCAGGGAGAGCAACTTAAGCTCTCTCTACAAGAGAAGCAGCATACACAACCACTGCTCGTTCCTTTGCACATAAATCATCGTGTGCAGCGAGCACGCATACATCCTGCCCTGCTAGCTATCTTGTGCAAAACTGGAGGCTTGCCAAAAGCTGCGGGTCGGGCTCTTGTTTTGATCCAGCCACAGCTTCTAATGATTCACAGAGAAACAGGAAGTTGTGAGGTGGAAGGCCAACATGATCTCAAGCTTGCAGACTGGATGTTAAAAATAACTTTGTGTCAACACAGCAGACATCTCTGCTCGTTTTCAGTTTTCTTTAAGGATGGGGACTTACTTTTGTAAAGAACATATTATTAGAATGTTTTAGTGGTCATCAAACACACAGGAGGAAGATAAAGGTTTTTCGACCTCCACCCTTCTCCTCTGACCTCAGTGCTCTCACCCGTTTACTGTGAGAGCAGTGTTTGAAGCTCAATTTCTACACGTGACATTAACACCGCCCTGTGGCTCTGACTCCCTGGAGTTCACAGAGGAGTCCTTGTTTACCCACAACAGGCCAGAGAGGTTGCAGGGTGCTGACTCAGTTCGCAGCAGCTGATCTTCTCACTTTATCCTCTCAGCAGCAGTGGGACAGCTCCCACTGTCCGAGCCCCATCAGCTGCTGATCTCTTCCTGCGGAGGCTGCAGGCGTTTGCAAACACAGCAGCTCACGGTATGCAGTGTCAACTAGACAACAGGTCTCCAGCTCTAGAATGGGGTGCATGTAGTGTTTTGTACACTTGGGCTCACTGTACATTGGGTTAATGAGGTCAGTCCAGATTATGAAAGGACCAGCTGATCCCCCACATAACCCTGTCTCCTCCATGAACCACAAAGGCTCAGAGCATGCAGAGCATCAGCAGAGCAAACAGACAGCATCACCTTTAACCAGACTTCTTCAGCTCCTGGCCTCATTCAACCACATTTGCAACGTTCAAGCCATACTTTCTTATAACATTATTACTTCTTACTCATTTCTGACACTGTGTGTGGCACATTCATGAGCCTGTATTCACACTTGATAATATGCATGAGTGATGACAGGCCATAAAAACCTCTTTTTTTAAAATATTGCTCTTGACATGCTTACTTATGTGATAAAACCCAAACACAATTCTTTCACCACACAGATCTAAGAGCACAAATGTTTGTAATAGAATAAATAATAGGTCCCCCTTAAATCAGCTCTAGCCAGAGCTGGTGAGAAACCTGACAGAAAATGTCAACAAAACATTGAGTCACAAATACACTGAGCTTCTATCAGCCTTGTACAAAACATAGCATGGTGTATCTTTGTGATGGAGACACGGATATGATGTAGCCAGGTGTTTTTATAGTGGAGGGATGTTTGAGGAAACTTTCTGCCCATACATGTTTACCTCCTGGAAGCACTGGGACCTATTTTTACCTCATCTGGTTCTCCAGACACTTTTGTTTGACCTGTTTGCAGGTTGACTTGCCCATAAACTGCCTGACATCAAACCTCTTCACCCCCTCCAGCTTGAAGTGAGTCAGACAGCCTCTCGTTCTCACCAGCCCTCGTGCCAGAAATATTCACACGGTTATGGAATTTTGGGAGGGGGGGGTCAATTCAAGTTAAGACCCACTGTGGGTTAACACCAAACCAAAGCTGTGCCAAGAATCATCCAGAGCCATTTGGGAGTCACTGCAGTGTGTCATGTTTCTGCATACAGTGTGTGGGTGGGTGACTTGTTGAACTCTTCTGTGTCGTGTCGTGTCTGTTTTGACTGGAATCTTTTTATGGTCTCAGACTGCACTGGAAACTTGGCATGGTTTTTACCTGCCATTACAAAACTCTAAAGTTATACATTGTCTTTCTAGCTGGTTGCTCCATGTTGGATTAGCTCAGTAGCCTTTCCTGAACTCACAGTCTTCATCAGGGGGTGGATTTTGCTCTAATCTTCCTCAAACTGATTGACTTTTTTTTACTTTTGGCATATATGCATGGTATTTAACACTTGCTATGCATATATCTGAAGTGTGTGTGTGTGTGTGTGTTTCTAATTTGTTTACCTATTTAACCCAAAGTTTTCACATATGCCATATAATGAAAGGCTGGATAAAACATTTCTGCTTGAGCCCTTTGTTCCTCAGTGTCCTCCTGTTAGAGTCAGCTTTCATTTCATAGTTTAGTTTACAGTGTTTTGAGAACAAAAATGCATTGTCTGACAGCTGAACAAGTGAAGCAAGTCTCAAAGTCGTTCTAAAATCACTGCTGCGTGTCAAAATGTTTATTTACCTTCTACTTTATGGTACTAATGCAAGGTGTTGGCTGATTACAGATTCTGAACCATTAACTGGTTCTTGTGAGAATCAGACTTACTCAGGTAGTTGACCAGGATCCAGTCTTCATCCTCCTCCTCTGTCTCCTCCACTTTGCCGTCCCCAGGTCTGCTGCCTCGACTCACCTCCTCCACATCGTCCCCAAAGAGAGCACTGGCGAACCTCTGGAACATCCTGAGATGTCCTGCAGGGGCGTGAGGATGAGGGAGGGGTCGGGGGAGGCGCGTGGCTCTGGGCGACGGCAGGGAGGTGTTGCGGTCGTTTTGGTCATCAGCTGCGGGGTTCACAGCAGGGGGAAGGCTCCGTAAAGGTGCTAAAGTGCATCAATAAGTTGTGGTCATAGATCATCTGAGGGCCAGCAGGCGCAGGCTGGACATCGCTCAACGTCAGGATTGCTTCAGTGAGTGCAAAAGTCTTCAAAAAAAAAAGCCCTGAGAGGCAGAGAAACATGAGGATTCGGTTATAAACATTTACAGGTGCTGGTTTTACACACAAGGCCTCACATCCCCATCCCTCATTAAAGATGTTAGGACAGAGCCTGAAAACACACCAGGGCTTCCCAGAGAAATGGTTTAAACACAAACACACACACACAAGAACGACTTTAATGACAAGCCTGTTAGTATTTGCCTCTAGCTGCACAAATTTCCGGGATGGATTAATTTCCTGTCAGACTTGATGGTCATGAGCAGCAGCTGCAGTTTCTTCAGTTATTGATCTGAAGGAAACGAGCGGAGAAAAAAGATGTCCTGTCTGTGTTTAATTCACGTGCAAATAAAGGATCTGCTGTGCTCAGAGGATGTACAGACACAGCTGGCTGGCAGCCTGTTTGTTGGCCTAACTACAGCCTTTCACATGAGGAAAGTAGAAAGAAATGAAAAGTCACAAGTGTCACTGTCACCCTACAGCTGCTGTGTAAATGGAACCCACTGGCACGATATTAGCAGATTGAAGCCAAGTGTACTCCCCCCCCCACCCACCCCTTATTTTGGCCTTCACTCTACAAATTCAGGTTTCTGTAATATGTCCAAATGAACTCTTTTACTGTCCAACATGATAGCCCTATAGAGTTTACTTATGGCTAAACAAACAAACGATGGTGCAAGATGCAAATGTATCATCTATAAGACTTCCATTACATGTAAATTAGATGTAAACTGAAGAAAATGTGGCAAATATGATAAGCAATTTCATCATACTTCATGTATAGGTGTGTCAGGCAACACATGAACACTGCATTAACAGGTGCAGTAGCTCAACTGTTGTAATAACAGCCTTATCTTACATCATTCACAACCTAATCATTTGTTATGAGTAACGAGCTCTCTCAGTGGATAAGTGACATTTTAATTTCATATATCTGTTGGCACTTTTTTCTGCTTACGCAAAATGACTCACGATAAGTTATGGTTTATCCACGAACACTTAAACATCTAGTTACAATAACTGTAATCACCGGTAGGAGGCGGAAACAAAACACGGCACTGGATAAAAACACTTAAATTCTCAGGAGCAAACAAGCCCAGATATCCGATTTTTTTCTCCCTACCCTTGAAGGCGCATTGCCTCTGGCTGTGTTGCGTTTAATTACCTCTCGTATTTTCCGGCACATAGCGAATAAAAAGCGCTCTTCTTTTCAAGAACAATCTAACCCCGCCTCTGTAAACATCGAACAGCTGTGAGGGACAGAAAACGCTTCTGACTGACTCACTGTCTCACACCGACAACAGCAGGCTGATAATCTGCAGCACCTGTTTCTCATTCCCCCTGCTCACCCTCCTGCCCCTCCTAGGGCAGGTCATTTCAGGATAGGCCTAAATCATTTACACGACTTTATTCCTGTTATTATAATAATAACCATACACAAAGAAAAGCTCTCCCGGGCTTGGTTAATGCCTGATTAATGTTGTTAAACGGGTCACTGAACGTCAGCGCAATTGATGCATCTATTACATCAGATCGCGCTTTGTTTGGGTGTTGAGTGCGAAACGGGCTGTAAAAGAAAGATGGGCTGTTGCATGGTGTTTAAATCGGATGTCTATACAGTATGCAGTCTGCGGGATTAAGAATAAACCCATAAAGTGGGATTCAGTGGAGGATAAAATACAGATTACCCACGTTTTAGCTGGCAAACAAGAGTTAATACACAGCTAAACTCAAAGGGCGCACGCTTTTATCCTCACCTTAGATGATTTCTGTAGAAAATAGTTAAGATTGTTTGGGGAACCCATCTTATTTCGCGCACCCCCCCCCAAAAAAGAAAAAAAGATTCTTATTGACTTTACGGGACAAAAGCAGCAAATAGTCATTACCGAAAGGAATACTTGACACCTCTGCTTGATAAAAGACCAATTACCAAGTTAAGTTTGTTCTCAATGGAGTGATCGAAGCGCTAATGTGATTTGGCGTCCAGACTGTGGGGGGATAAAGGCTGAAGTGATTCGGTAATAATGTGGAGCTACAGCTCCCTAAGAGTGTTGGCCGGTTTCGATGGTTATACAAGGAAAGAAGGAGGAGGAGGCTGTAATTCTACCCGCACAGTGCTGGACCGCATATTCACTTTAACTTTTATCTCCGTATGATATGATATCAAATATTTTCCCAAAATAAACTTACTCCAGTCCAAGTCGAGCAAAGGCAGAAAGCTGTGCAGAGCCACAGCAACCAAAGCCACCGGCAGAGAAAGCCGAATAAAACGCACAGTTAAGGCTTAATAATGGAGCATAGCTTCTTAATTGCTGTATATCTACCAAAACACCAAGTGCCTCTCCTGTTATGTGCATGCAATTTATATATAATACCGAAATCAGAGGCTTTGGGGCCGGGTATATTCACCGAGATGAAAACAAAGAGCTCACCTGCGGCAGAAGGAGGAGGTGTAAACGAGTCCAAACCGTGATTAAAATCCTTAAAAATGAGGTAGATGCGTTACTTTTCGAAAAATAGAAAAACTTGAGGTTTCTTCGCGGAAGAAATAAAATATAAAAACGTTACTTTAAGGACTGCACATCAGGAGTCACAGTGCGGCGTTTCTTTTCAGTCCCGTTTCCTCCTCGAGCCCCCGACTGCGCCTTCTTTTGTTGTTGTTGTGGAGCTCAACAGCTGATCGGCCGTGACGTCGTTAAGGACCACCTCTCTGCGGGAGGAGCCAACCGGAGCCCTCGAGGGGCCAATCAAATGCGCGTTAAGGGCAGTCACTAACCCACGTGACTCCCTCCTCCCTCTCCTAAGGAAAAAGAAAGGGACATGACTGGACAAAGCGCTCAGCTGAGCAAGACTATAGTTTGTTTCTTTCCCCCAAAACAAGTTAATGTTACATAACAGAGCAGATATCCGGGTCCAGCCGCTGGGTTTCCTGTTTTCTAACCGTTCAAACACCCCTTAGAGTCATCAGATTTACAATTTTATTAAAATACGATTACACAGCGAGGTTTGAATAAAGTTTTCATCATTTACTTTAGAGTTAAGAATGATTTCATTAGTTTTGACATTTAGACATAAATAGAGCATACTACACAAGTTTTGGGGCTTTTTGTAAGTAATATGAGTATCTGTGACGTTTACAGTAGAGTAACTGTTTTTGCTTTAAGATTAAGAAAAAAAAATGCTATAGCAGCACTTAATATTTAAAAGTTTAAAAGCCAAAAACGGTTGATGTGCTTCCACATTATATTTGTCCCCTTCCAGTTTCAGCATAAAAGAAATGCAAAAATCCAGTAAAGATCAGTGTTGTGCTCAGCAGTCTCAATCCTCAGAAATGCAAAATGAGAAAATGCAGCCCTCCCCCATGTTTCACACTTCATCCTCTTATCACCCTCCCTGCACCCAACCGAAGAAGTGGAGGAAGGGCCATCAGTTCCAAATAAAAGGCCTTAAAGATACACTTGGATATCTTCACTGGTCTTTAGCTACAGCTGTAAAGTCGATACTCTTAAGTTCAAACTGCACACTATGTTTTATTCTAGGCTTGGTAATAACAGATACTATGAACAACAACCAACAGTTGTTGGATTTAGACATGTCAAGAGTACATGGTATGCTGGATTTGTCTTCATGTTTAGATGAATGAAATTCTTCAGTGTGGCCTGCACTGTACTGTTTTCCATTTAAACTGAATACTTTCCCACTGATTCACTGACCCGTTTTTACAGAGAGCAGCAGCCCGATAAACATAATGTCGCCATTCTAATAACGGTTTTATTAACAGTTAACGTTTAACTAATTTACTCGTGCTGCATTAACCTTTAAAACTGGATTAATACCACTCTTTCTGAACAGCTGTCATAGGTATCCACTGCAGTTTCCAAGACACCACATCAAGTATCAGGGAATCAGATGAGTTTTATATTAACATGAATTTAGTAAGAAGGACAAATATGCTGCACCTCTTCCTAATTTTCACTATTTATAAGCTTCTGACTCGCATGCTTGGCTCCAAATTCAAAATCATGTTAACAGGATGGAGATAACATCAGTTTTGGGTTTTTTTGGTCAGCAGCAGGCTTAATAGGATCCACCTTCGGAAGGGTGGAAGTAGGAAACCTAGCCTTCACCCCGTCCCCTTTTTAAAAATCTCATCCTCCCATTGCCCTGCACACGACCCACACTGTGGAGGAAGGGCCATCAGGCCAGACAAAAGGCCTCCAGGAAGTTGTGTTATTCTTCATCTCGAACCACCAGTATGTTCTGTTCTTTATCTCCAGCTATAAAGTTGTTTTATGAAGATGTTATGGTGTTCAAAGTACTGACAATTTTTTTTCTCATAAATGCTAGTATACATAAGGTGAACACAAACATGTAGGTCTAACTGTATAACACGCTATAATGCAATTGTAGATAAGATAAAAGTGGTCTGTCAACTAGTATTTTCTATTGTGGACACCAGCAAGTGCAGGTAGCTTTATAAACAGATAATCAGTGGAAAGTACTCGCTTTTAAAAATGTCCTCATATTAGTACATTATGGGATATTGCTCACATCAATTGTCACGGTGGTCATAAATGCCAACGATAGGGACACGAGGGCTTTTTTAGAGCAGGACATTTAAAAAACATAATGATGAAAACAATACCACGAATGAAATCACATCAAATATGAAAGACTTAAAGACAATGATTCTCTTTTAAAAGAACTTTGTTCGTGTTTGTTTTTTAACAGAATTGGAACACAACATGTTCCCTTTTATCAGAAATGATTACAGGCATTTTGATGGTGACTGTATTTCTTTGTACAATGATTGTAGTACTTTAGATAATGTAGACAAAACAACTTGTCATTCCTTTCGAACACGCATAATACTTAAATTTTACATGTGGAATAAAAACACTTAATAGGGAAAAACCACGGACTGTATATAAAAGATTTACTTAGCCCTCTTGATGGTATCCATTAAGGTTTCGTAGTCATGTAACCACTAACCACATGGCATTAACTTTTCCTCCATTTTGGGCGTGTTGACAATTGTGGTGATAATGTAGGCTTAAGTGAATAAGGCCCAGTGTCACAGGCCTACAGACATGTCCAAAGCCATCTGACAAACACTGAGAAATCACCGTCTGCTTGGCAAAAACCTCCTTGTGATTGCGTTGGTTAACAGCAGATTGCCCCAGTCACCTTTAGTTTGCATGAAATACAGCGACTTCTTTATAAACACTCACCAGCTACTCTGTGAGCTGTAATAAAGGAATGAAAGCAGGTAGCAGGCTGTAAACATCCTTATTAATTGTACTACGTTGGGTATTTTAATACGTAACTCTATGGGGATTGATTCATTCTTGTAGCCAGCCTCAGCTGGCTGTGAGAGCAACTGGACTTGTGTCGGCTGTGGTTTGGCACAAATATCAAATAAGACTACAACACATGGCGCTGTTAGGTAGCTTGATAGCATTAGTGCCACCTAATTAACTGAAAACGTATTCCTCCCGGTCGGTGGTACCTCCACATAGCCAGTGTTGACTTTAACTCAGAAGTCGGATATCAGAACTCAGAATGACGTCACTTTTGAGTTGAGTGCATTCCAGATGTAAAGTCAGAAAAACAATGAAAAACAGGATTCATTTTGCTTCTTAGCATAATAGAAAAATGTGTGTATCGCTAACAATGCAGCACAATGCTTGTGTTTTTTGCTCTGCAGGACATTCATGGATAAAGCCTGATCAGTGGTCTACGCATAGCGTATTTAGCGAGTCAAAAAAACACAACAGTGGCAGCACAGATTTAAAGTTCACAGCTTTACTTCTGTTTACCTTCAATCCTGCCATATTGGATTGTTAACTCGTTAACTAATAGTTTTTACCATTATTAGTACACAGCCCAGGTACTAATAGTGCACTTTGGAACACTCAAAATAGCAAATATTGAAGTATGCAACTTGACATACAGCACGAGGCTCACTGCAGTCTTTATGAATAGATGTTTCCCTTTGAAATGTCCCATTAAATTTTTACCTTTTAGTATTTTCCTTCCAATCCATATGTTATATTTTCAAATCTTTTTACTAAATATTTACACTTGATGTTCATGCTTTTGTTTTTGAGGTTTTTGTAATATTGACTAGCTTAAGTTCCTCTCTTTTGTTCTCCCTCCAGCTGCTTTCTCTATTTTTCCTCCAAATGTGGAAAGTTTGAGTTTCAAAGTTGACTCATTGACTGTTAGATGTTACAGGGTTGGAATGCTACTGAGTATATTTACTCTTCTTACGTAATTTTAGACTGTTGTTCTTCACATATTTCTTCTACATTTCAGAACCCAACATGACACTCTTTAACTTTATTGAACACATCTGGCTACTTAGAATTCTTTAAAACCATGGAGTTTAATCAACTTGTGAAACACATAAGGGATCACTGGTTGTGCTGTCACTTTGTGCAGTCTTTTTGGATGTATTTTGAGTATAATTTGTTTTCCCTAATCTTGCTTTGTCTACCTGGCATTTTCTTTTTCTTCTCCCTATAGCTGTTTTCTATCTTTTTTTGTATTTCACTCATCCTTTGTGTGGCTTTGTGCGTCCCTTTGAGTGCTTTATGTCTGTTTGAGCTTGTTTTGTGAGTTTTTGTCATTATTTTTTGCGATTTGGCAGTGGCTTATGGGTCACTGAGGTTGTTTTGCTCCCTGTTGGGATCACTGTGTCTCCTCCATTTTGTGCATCTTTGTGCAATTTTAGTTAGTTTTGAACTCTTTATAGTCAAATTGTAGCTCTCCGGATGAGTTACTTTTCAATAACAATTGTTAGGACTCACTTTAAGTGGACTCTCTGGTCCAGAGCCACCAATCCTAGCAGTATGCCTGACTTTTCTACAGCCGTCAACATCCACACAGAAGAAATGTGATTGGTTCAAGCAAACAGAACAGAAATTCCAGTGGAACATCCATGTCGAAAAAACATACAGGGACGCAGAACATAGGACCAACGTGTTAGCCTACCATGTTTTTCCATTTCCCAAACCACAAGGACGCACCTGTACCACTCTGACAACACAACGCTGATAAGATGTCCTCAACTGCTCTGTTTTATTTTTCTTTCTGAACTATTACATCACAGCTGCTGCATCCTCCCAATATAACGTCCATAATGATAACTTGCATCATAAAACTAGAAGCATTCTTGGTATTGAAAGGACAGACAAAACGAATGTAGTGACATCAACCTGTTACAGGATTGTTAAATAAATACATTACAATGTTTGACTTGACTGAAACAATAGCGTTATCTTTCTTTAATTTCTAAGTCTTATTGCTGTTTTCAACAGAACTCAGTGCCACAGAGTTTTATTGTTGTTGTGTAGAAACTCTTAATCAGTAAGCTATTCTGTGTGACTTGTTCCTTCATTATCACGAAAACACACACACAGTTGACTTGACCACATACTCGATTCCCTGCTACCCCAAAAACACATACCAGAGGACCAAATTTTCTAAAAGCAGTTCCAAAAAATATGCTCTAAACTCTTCTATAATGACAAGCTTGTTTGGGAAGTTCCCGAGTCTTTTTTGAATTAAACCTCAACACTTGAGAGGTAGTGAGACATGAACTGACACTTGAAAAAGGAGAGTGGGTGTGTGGATGATGAGCT